TAAGTTGTATTTACAACACTGTTCCAGAACAGTTCAACCCAAATATTCAGATGTGTGCAGCGCATTTTATGGAGGACAGACTGTAAGTAAGTTTTCATAATTTAAAGGATTTGCCACTGATGATTCAAACGTGAGTTTTGAGCAGTGTAGAGTAGCGCTTGTTTTTTGTCATTTCTCCGATCACAAATGCAGACATGGTTTTATGTTTACGCGGCGCGATACAACGCAACGCGTAAAAAGACAGTATAACTCATTATAATCCATAATTATGTCCCCACTGGATGCAACGAATGCCTCGTTTATATGTTTTTGAATCGTCGCTCCGGCCGGACAGGGCATCACAGTATGGTAGGGGCGTAACATTTCCGTCACACGCTTGAGGTATTCAGCCAATCATAACGCACTGGATAGCTGGCCAATCACAGCACACCTCGCTTTTTCAGACCGATGAGCTTTGTAAAAATCGACGCGTTTCAGAAAGGCGGGGCATAGAGGAGAAACAATAATGTACAGTATGTGGAAAATAATGTGTTTTTTTAACCTTAAACCGCATAAACACATTTCATTACACCAAATACACCAAATAATGTTCTTTTTAGCAACATCATATGACCCCTTTAATGCAAACAGCATACATTTAGTAAAAACTTGTATTTTTAATTGGAATTTTAATATTTGACATTTCTTTTCATAAATGTATTTTACACTAGGTACAACTTAGGACCTTAATTATATAACCGTGATATTTAATCCCAGTGGCATTTAAGCATACAATCATGCATTCTTTGTTAATAGGCTTTGATTTTGTTGGCAAGGTTTTTACTGTTTTTTACTATTTTCCATGTGATTGCACACTTTTCTCAGGTTTGGCCTATGAGTTTTTTTTTCCTGTTTTCTGCTTCTGCTGAAAAAAAAAGGACAGCAAAAAGAATAATGCATAAATTAATGTTGTTGGTAATCACTGACATATCCAAGACTGTAAAAAAAAAAAAGTAATTCTGGTTAGCACTTAATAAATGGAAAATAATTGTTTTTATGTGCTAGAATTTTATGTCCAGAATAATATAATTTCTTAGATTTTTTCCCCCCTTCGATGTTTGATTTTCCATGAAATCGTCCGACTTTTTGGTTCTTGTGTGAATCTATTGTGATATCCTACATGTTTGCTCTGTTAAAGTATCTTGTGATGTTTTTTAAGAGAACAATTTAAAAAAGACTAGAAAAGAATCATCGCGCTCAATAATTAAAGGGTTCTTTATTTGTTTATTTATTTATTTGCTTTATTTTTATTAGAATTTTTATATAGGTTATAAGAATATTGAGAATTATAGTGTTACCAGCTTGCTAGCCTTTGTACGATAACCGGGTCTAGTTGTCACACAGTACATTTTACTCCAGTGAATACTTTTTTATGGTTGATTTATTTTTCAAAGTCATTTTCTGTACAGATACATACTGGACCTGCTTCTTGGCTACAGAAAAGCTACTGGAAAAAAAAGTCAAAATCCAGACTCCCATTATAACTAACTAGTAATATGTTAAATAGCAAAATAAATGTATTGCATATTCATTATTTTATCAAATTTGTTTTAAATGCAGATAATTAAACCTTATTATTATATAGTATAATAGTATATATAGAGCACCTGCAGGAGGAATAAATAATGTCATTTTGTCTTAAAAGAAGAGAATTTAAAAAAAAAACAGCTTTAGTCCACCTCTGTTAAGAATATATAATAGATTCATAGCATACTTTATTTCCATATATATTGACAAAACATTGACGTTTCACTCCAATATTTTAGGAAAGTCTGTACAGTAATAAAAGTGACATCAAAAACATTTAATCAATTGTCGTCTTTGTCTTTACTTTTTTAATTTAGGATATCAAATGTTTAATTACATATTATATATAACATATCTTAACATCATTTCAGTCCCACATTGTTTTCCTAGCTTGTAAAATAACCAGCTAATACACTAAGAGGTTATGCAATTAGGCCAATAACATGGTTTAGTTTCCTCAATACAAATGCAATATTCCTTTTATCCCATTCATTTTTATTCTGTTCATCTACTCAAAAAAAAAAAAGACAGAAAAATGAAAACCCAATCAAAATGGACCTGAGAACTTTTTTCTGAACAAACCAAATTATTTTTTCCGACTGAATAATAAGGCTATTTTTCATTAAACAAAATGCAAAGGTATTCAGATACACTCTTAACTTTAAGACATGCAACACAACAATCTTCAAATATTTAAAATATAAATATTTTATGTTTTCCTCTTAGCATTCAGTAAACAGAGTCACAAGAATCAAATCTTTTTATAATCGGAAAAGTACTAGAAGTACAGTACATACGTTTTTGTATGGCATAATAAATTTGGTGCTTGCAATCAAAATGACAGGCTAAAAAGAGTCTAAAACTTTGGTTTCCACTGTATATCAATAGTTTAAAATAAGTTCAGCATACTTATTCACCAATGTGTACACATTCTTATAGTTTATAAAGTGCATAATTGGAATTTCATTCATAGTATTTATTGCAGTTATTTATATAACAGTATTAGCATAATTTATTTTTTCTTGTTTCACACCCAGTAACTATTCCAATCTTTAAAATTTCTTCGTCGGGGTCAGTGAGAGGTGTTATTTACAAAATTTATACAAGTCCTGGAAACTCTTCCACTCCCACTGCATTGACTGGGCCGGGGTGGTGGGTGTGGCTTGTGGTGGGCGTGGCCTGTGGTGGGTGGAGTCATTAGAGTTCACATGTGACGCTGGCATCCTCTGAATGGTCACAGTTGTGGACGTTCCATGCTATGTGAGAGCACTGAGTGAGAGCAGCTTCTCTGCCTGTGCACTTCAGATTGTCCATCTGGATTGTGCCACGACCGGGACCAAAGTAGGCCATCACCTGGGCGGCTCTAGGCAGCCCGCAGCCCATCTGCCTGCACGCCACCTTCGCATCTGCAATATCCCAAGCATCATCGCACACGGTTCCCCATTCTCCTCTCAGGAATATCTCCACACGACCCTCGCAGCGATTCAGGCCCCCTACGAGCCTGATGGTACCTTGAGAAGAGAAAAAGAAAGGGATAAACTGTGTGCCTAAACAGTGAGTGAGACTAGAAATAATGTGTCATAAATCATAGTATGCAGAAAACAGATGGTCAAAGATGATAAATTTGTTGTTTTGTAGAAGTGTGCATTCATGCGCGCCTTTTCAGTTATTATTTTCCACAATTATTTTAAACATTTTCTTAATATTTTTGTCTTGTTTTCCTGTACAGATATCTAAACATTCTTAAATCAGTCTGGTTTTCTTTAAAAAATCTATTAAAATGAAGTGAGTTTATGCTTAAGACAAGAAAAAATATCTGCCAGTGGGGTCAGAAAAATAAACTTAATTCAGAAGGAAGACAAGGTTATTTTTCTGACCTTATTCTCAGATATTTTTTCTTGAAAAGATCCATACCCATTATAACTAGTAATATTAAAGAGCAAAATCTATCAAATCTATCACATATTCATTACTTCGCAAAATTTAAATACAGATAATGAAACATATATTATGTAAAATATATATTATATGAATAATAATGTGAAAATAATAATAATAATGAGAACATTTATTTATATATATATATATATATATATATATACACGTATACAC